ATTCGAGAGTTATATAACTTTTCCTGAGATCTCCGATTTTAGTCACTTGACCTGTGATCAAATGGGAAAAGCAGCTTGATAGTAGTGATTCCCCATGCTGAATCGACTGGTGACATTTATTTTTAGGTTCACCGGAATTTGATTCTGTTATCTCAATAACTTTGAGATTTCACAATCAGTCTACATGCAACGAAAGACCTAATATTTCTGAAATATTAAGATAACAGTGCTAGATCATCTCGAAACTAACAACAAATATCCTCATTCGGCTAAGCACCATGATGACCCCTACTTAGTAACTTTTCCGAGTGGTCACAGATCTATTGACTGATATATTGGGATATCAAGAAAAGTCTTATAAATCTCGAATGGAACAAGTTAGGAATGTCTGCTTTTTCTACATCGAAAGACAAGAAGTTCACAATATTGTTTTCGAAAATCTCTACTAAAAACTCAATTGATTGTTCAATTTCTGATCAATGAAATTTCTATATATTTCAATAACCTTGAATCTTTTCTTATAAATAGTAAAAATCACAAATCACTATGATGTTCCTACGAAAAGTTATTCAAAAAACAGTGTAGTACATTATATTTAGAAAAGAATGGTAGTTATCCTCAAAAAATAAATATGAAAATATAAGTGATTAATTTATTTGGCACTATTGAAAATATTTGCACTACAAAAGTAAATATTCCCTTTAGTAAACCAGTTAAAAAAAGAAACAATATTTATAGTATAAATGATTCTAACTCTCATCGAATACGTCTGATACACTTTTCGATTCTGTTGAAGAATTCATTGAATTGTCGTCATGTCTATGTTTAGTTTTATTTGATGTTATGTAAAAGAAGTGTCACCGGTAGGAGGCATCTGTTCTTTTTTCTTGGCTGCTCGTTTATCAATACGTGATTTGCCTGGTGCAGATATTTTAATGCCTAAATCATCATCAGTTAGACGTTGAGTATCCGTAGCAGATGCAACTAAAGTATAAAAAAAAAGGACTAATGAACTATTTTTTCATTGTGTACAAATCAACACGAATATTCACCTGCAGCCTATAGAAATAGTAAAAAAAAATAAAATTGAATTAAAATAAATATGAAACAGACACTTGATTTTAAACTCACTTGTAATTGTTGTCGAGTTTCAGCATCTTGCAATACAGTCATATCAATTGGTCTTTCAGATGTCAATTCAGTAAGCCATGGAGATGTGAGAATCTCACCGATTGTAATACGACTTGTTGGATCAACTGTAAGCATTCGTCGAATAATCGATTTTGCTTCGTTTGAGATATTTCGCCATTCAGCATCAGGAAATTCATACCTACCAGCCCTAGTCTTCGTTTTTATATGAGGACTAAGCTGTTGCTCACTTTCTGGATAGAAAGGTGGATAACCGCATAGAAGAATATACATAATTACACCCATCGACCAAATATCACAGGCCTGTTTTACAAGAAATAAAATAAACAAATAAAAATTCTTTATATTTCACAAAATAAGAATAAAAATCGAAGTATGTTTGAAATCAATAGAGTAGAAAACATATTTTTAAACTTGACTTTTGTTTTTATAGACTAGAGAAATAAAACATGATTAGCATATTACTTTATCATATTTTTCACGAGCTAGAATCTCTGGTGCAACATGACATGCTGGAAATCTAAACAAAAAATCTAATGAAATAATTCGATATTTTTAATTTATTTCAATACAATGGAGTGGTAAATAGCAGTTGATTGTCTCCTTTAAAACATAATAAACAGAAATTAATCAATTCATTTCTTTTGCAATAACTACTATTTTACCTTTTTTAGCAAATCCGAAATCACAAAGTTTGAGAATAGCATCATTTCTGTCATTTGTTAAGAGTAAATTGTCTTCTTTTAAATCACCTATGATTATAAATTAGATATTTTATCATATTTTTCTATTGTAAAACTGCATACGATGAGCCTATAAACATTAAGATGGATAAGAAAACATATATAAATAGTAAGTTACATTAGAAAATCTTACTATATTCATGGTATGTAAATGATTAACAGCTTGAACAATCATCCAAATATATCTTGCAGCATCACGTTCCGTATATGGCTCCTTGTTTCGTTTACAAATATACTTGAATAGGTTACCACCTTCCATACTAGAATAAAAATTCATTAATAATCATATATAGATGCATATATCAGTAAAAAAATAATTCTACCATTCCATTACAAGCAATAAGCTTTTCTGAGAATAATACATCGTTTCCTGCAATCGCCCAATAGATTAAATCAATAATTCAGTAAAGGAAAGAAAGAAAGAAAAATAATTCGTACATAGACATCCACTATTTGTACAATGTATTGACAATTTTCACATGCTATTTTATGCAGAATAACTTCTTGTCGAGCTTTGGGTGAATCTTTTAAAATCTATGGAATTTTCAAATATAAATCATTTGGTATATATATATTAAAAGAAATTGAAGAAATACTTTAAGAGCACATTTTTGACCTGTTCGACGATGTTGACATTTGAATATTCTACCATTTACACCACAACCTAACGATTCTGTTGATATTTCATAATCTTCGTCAATGGCATTGTGTCGTGTTTCAAATGGAAACGCACTATATTTGTTCGCACTGTTTGATTGATTAAAATAAATTTATTTTATTTATTTTATTTATGAAAATTGAATGAACAAAGATTATACTGATTAAAAAGCTTGAGATTTCCTAACACTATCAAGCATGCTGTGGGAATCATTATAAATGAAAAAGGACATCGATTTGCTAGAAATTCTATTCTTTTCATGTTGTATCACTTTTCTCTACAGTAATTATTCTTAAAAATGATCACGGATTTTTTTCTATAAATAAATATCTTTTACAAAACGAATGAATTCAAAAAAATGAGATGATTGAATACATAGCTTTATCCACGAAAATAAATACTATCCAGTGATGTAAAAAAAACGAATGAAATGCACTAAAGCTATAAATTTTTAACATCATAAATAAGCATTCTAATTTTCATTTCATGAGACATAAAAAATCGATATGTTTGAAACCATTTTCTTGGGTTTTTTTCAGTCAATAAGAGAAAAATATTATATTTAAAACAATATATGAATTGATTCGCTCACTTTGTATTTGTTGTAGTTTTATCAGTACTCTTCGCCATGTATAGAAATTGTACACAGGTAAACAAGTATGTAGATTTGATGAGTGATAAATAATAAATGAATCTGAGTAATAAAAAAAAATAATTAGTATGTTTTCGATGTCTGGAAGAGTGCAGTTTAAATTTAGCAAAAAATTTGCAAATTTTCATTTGATTCATTCATGTGAAACAGCAAGAAACTATTTAGCAATGGATGAAGAATATAATACTCTATGTTGCATCGAAATACCGAACAGAACATATGAGACACGTGTAAAATATTGCTTAGTAAAACAAATTATAAATAACAATAATAATGATGTAATAGAAAAGAACGAAAAAAGTAAAAATAACACTATCAACGTAAGGATGTGACGATGGGCTTTTTCTTAGTGGTTTTTTAATGTAATATTAATATATTTTTCTAAGTTATTGCAAAATCATAAAATAATCATGGATAATGTCCCTGTTGAATATGATTAACATGTTGATTTAACCTAGAAGACATGTCCGTCGCAATTGTGAGTCAATACACATGATTCGAACGCCCAAGAAATTTATATGTAGTCAATTCGTTGATTAATATGGCTGTTTTTTGGAAAGATGAAGTTGACAGAACAATAAAAGCCTCAGAGTTCAAAGGCATGGATATAAGAATGAGGATGTAGAAATGTCAGCTTTTTTTTTTCGTTCTTTCATCTACATTCCTACAGCCGTCTCTGACAATGTCATCGTTTGTCGCTGTATTTCGTGTAAGTTTGTCTGTATCACCATTGCATTGTATGTGGGAAAGAAAAGAAATCGAAATTTATCAGTGAACATTAAAGTAAAATATATGGTTTTAGGAGAAGGCAAAGTTCAAGTGATTCGAGGAACGATCATAAATAATTTACAGAAGTTTATTAAGAACAACATCATCATTTTGAAATAGCTATCGTTCTAGACTATTCGAGCGAAACAAGTAAGAAATAATTTGTTTGCCTACTCTGTACGTAGTTAAATATTGTAATCATTAGAACGCGATAAAGCAAATAATAATGAATCAACATATAAAGTTTGGATTCTATTTTTACTTAAAATCGATAATATGTCTTCGGATAAGTTATCGTCTATTGTTCAATGTTAATCTAATGAATTTAATTCAATAAACTTGGTCCTTACTTTATCTTCATCTTTTATTGTTGATTTCTCACTAGTTCTGTATGAATTTTCAATTGAAAGAATTTTCTGATTATTAGAAAAAGATCCATCGAGTTGTAAAGTTAGTATACATACAAAGAATAAATTATCTTTGATTTGTTGGCAGATTTTTTATTTTCGAACTAAGTAATCTCTTATAAAAGAAGAATCTAAAACAATTCGAAGCTTTCTCAGTTTTCAACTATGTTTTCAGTTGTATACATCTACATTGAGTTCTGGTACTTGAGTACTAAACGCATATGGTTATGTATAAAAGTTATTTCCGAGTACAGGACAAGAAATCTCCGTCGGTAGGTGTTGATGAAACTCAAATGAAATTAGAAACAGTTTACATTTGTAGAGAAAATGAAATTATATAAAATTTGGTAATATTAATGGAAATTATAGATATATACAGAATTCTTTTACAAGATATTTGACGAGTGAGAAGTTCCTTGGAACGATTTTTTTGTTCCATCCAATCCCACATGGACCCCTGGTGTCTTCAGATCTCTTTAAATAGATTATGTTTATATCAATCTATCTCCGTTAGAATATTTTGGAAGTATAAAGATTCAAAGGATATAGCTCTATATATATATATATTTTTTTTTTCATCAGGATAATAATCAACTATACTAGTACTTGAATGCATTCCCAAGGAAATCCAAAGAAAACATCGTATGACAATAATAAAAAGGATTCTGTTAATGTTTTTGCTAATTTTTTTTTTCGAAATCTGTTTAAGATTCTCGTATAAAGATTTGGTCAGAAGTGAGAGCTACATCAGACAAGCATAAAACAAGATCAGTCAATCTACTGAATCGAGAAATCATATTGTATGGAAATTTTCAATAACAAGCATTTCAGATTCTGACCAGAAAATTTCAATTATAACCAAAATGTTAATAAGAAAATGCAAAAATTCTTTTGAAAGCTTTTACCAAGGTTTTGGTTCAGTATCTATATTGACTTTTGAGAGTTCATATCAATTTAGTTCTTACACTCATGTTTTCATGAGTAAGCCATTTTCTAGTCGTTAGCGTTATTTCTCGATAAAAAGCAAATTTTCAATTTTGTTTTTTTTGTGGACACAAACTCGAAATTTAATTTTGAATTGAATAGAAATCAATACATTATAGTAGATTCCTTTGAATGAAAAGCAATGTTTAAAATCAAATGGTTCATTTTTTGAAAGCAATATCTGCTTTTCAAAAGTTCAAATACAAAGGACCCTATCGAATTTGGTAAACGACTTTGAACTAAAATACCATATATCTGATTTTATAGATCGATTTCTGGCGCACTGAATGACCTATAAAACATCACATTTTATGAAAATTTTTATGTGTTAATGGTTCGTGTACTGGTAATAATCCTAGAAAAATATATATGTCAGTATATTCAATTATTTATCACCGAACAAGTGAGTACCAACGTAAAACTTTCTCAAGAATTGTATACTATCAAGCTCGAGATGTTTGACAGATAACATCTTTCAGAATAGTAAGAGTCTATTATCAATTTGTGAGATTGTTCCCTAGAATAGCCTATTTGTCTATATGAAGGAGTTGATATTTTAACAATATTCAATGATCTTATTAAAAATGCTTATATACTAATAATTAGCACAACATCTCTGATGAAGTGATATAACTTAGCTCCTTTACAAACCGAAAATATTTTTTTTGGCCTGTAGCCCTTGGAAGGGTGGAAGGGTATATAGAAAAGCTTATTTTTGAAATGAACATAAGGTATTTATAGACTCTTCTAGATTTTCATTCATCAATCAAATCTAGATACTCAAAATAAAAATTTGAAAATGAAATAATAAAAATAACAGACTTTCTTCCTGCATACGTATTCCCGCACTTCACTACAGAGGTGTAGAAGTCGAAAAGCTTTTTTCCAATTATAAAAAATTTATCTATATCAGTTTATCAGAGATGCTGTAATGATTATCAGTACATAGAAGTTGTTAATCAAATCGTTGAGTATTGATAAAATATCAACAATATACCAGTTCCTTCATGTAGAAAAATAGACTATGCTAGGAAACAATCATGCAAGCTGACAATGAGTTCCAGCTGTTCTGCCAGATTTTATGTTCGAAACATTTACAACTTGATAGTGTACAATTTTCGAGAAAGTTTCACATTGATACTAATTTGTTCTGCAGTACAAAATATGAATACACTAAAATGTCATATAATCAAGAAATGACGTAGACGTAAGAAAAAGTTTCACTTTTTGAAGTATGAAGAAAGCAACAATGAAAAATATTGAAGAACATCTATAACTCTATCGCATTGAGTTTGAAAATAAAATTTGCATAAGTCCATCTTAGGAAATAAAAGATCTATGAGTATCATACAAATATATTTCTCAAGAATTATAATCAACATATGAACTCTTATCACATTGAAAATTTTCATAAAACTTGATTTCTTATATATCATTAGATGTGTTGATAAGATAAATCAACAAATCTGATGAAGTCTTTTTCATTGCTATGGTATGCCATAGTTCAAGCAAATAGGCCGATTAGTTTGTAAAACTTAACGTCTATAAATATTGATACTTGATGTATTCATTACTTGTGTCTTTGGATTGTAGAAACTCTTATATTAAAATGGTCAACATAAATATATTTATATTTATATATAATTTGTTACTGATAAAGATATCAAAATCATCATATTCAATGTACCACATAAAATGAATATAAATAAGAAACTCTTGAAATGCATAACATCTTCTTACGTTTACTTTTTTTAAAAGACAAAAAAAAATGTACACAAGAGATCACTTAT